AGAAGGGCTGTGTGAAGAGGAAAGCCTCTGCTGTGTATGCCCCATCTCCACATGGCTGGGAATGCTGAAAAATCAGATTTCCTGTTTTTGTGGAGAGTGGGGATTGTACGCTTTTCAGACTTTCTTCTTCCCATGCAGAGAACAGCAGGGGCACTCACCTTTTCGGATCAACACTTTCTAGCTGTGGTCTCTTTGATACATCATTAAATATTATGCCCCCACCACCTCTTTCCCCCTTCGTGTATACTCTCATCATACTGATTTTTAGTAGTTTCATATGCTCACTTTATATTAGTGGGGAGAATACCAGAACTACTTCATAATCCTAGAATCCATCTATTTCAAAATTCATCTTTAAAGGTTCTGTTAAAATCTGTCAGGAATAACCAACACCGATGTCCAACGAAATCAATCAGGAATGTCCAACAAGGCCATTGAATAAAGGCCAAGAAATCATAAAACACACAAAACGCGGAAAGCTAACATACTTTGATCATGAAATGAAAAAACAAAAAGTAAAATCTTATCTACACTTCTTTATTCAGAACTAAGCCAGGTTGGTATAAATGGGTGTTGCTTCCAAAGTACTGTAAGTGTGAAGAGGCTGCAGTCAGTCAGAGAAAACAGAGATATAAATCCTTCTCATGAAAGGAGGGGGTGCTGAAGACAATGGATTAAGAATGCACTAAGAGATATAAATTCTTCAAATGAAAGGGTGTGTGTGCTGAAGACAATGGATTAAGAATGCACTTCTCCTAAACAATACTGGTATAATAGATGGAAGTAATAAGAAGTGCTTAATGAGAATATGCCCATTGTTGATGTTGTTTTACATGAAACAGAATGTTTCAAAAGGGAAATATGAAATATAGTGACAGATTTGTCATTTGTAGTACAGTATATTAGAATTAGGGGCGTGGTGGCGCTGCGGGCTTAACTGCAGAAGCCTTTGTGTGCTGCAGGGTCAGAAGACCAGCAGTCGTAAGATCGAATCCATGCAATGGAGTGAGCTCCCGTCACTTTGTCCCAGCTCTTCGCCAACCTAGCAGTTCAAAAGCATGTAAATGCGAGTAGATAAATAGGTACCACCTCGGTGGGAAGGTAAACAGCGTTCCGTGTATAGCCACACTGGCCACGTGACAACAGAAACTGTCTTCGGACAAACGCTGGCTCTACGGCTTGTAAACGGGGATGAGCACCGCTCCCCAGAGTCGAACATGACTGACTAAAATGTCAAGGGGAACCTTTACCTTTAACCTTATATTAGAATTAAAGAAAGTTTGGAAAAATGTATCCATATAGTAACGCAGAGAAGACAGTGGCTTCCTCTTTATATCACATAAACCCAGGGGCCCTGGTTGAATCCACATTTGCCAAATAGAAGGCCTCCTGTAAATAGCCATGAATCTTTTATAGCAATAGCTTCATTCACAAAATAAATCTAGCAATAATGTCCAGATTTATTCAGATTTGTTCGAAATGCTTCTTATTATATAATACTTTCTTTACAGGACAAATTTAAACATTCTTTGGTAGCCTACCAACTTAAAGTGGGTGGGCATCTGAGCTTTCGCAGCTTTAAAATAATGCTTTTAGCAACTAATCAAGCTTAAGCAATGTATATTTATTTTGTCTTTTCTAGTAACTTTATGGTCAGGGTACGAGCCAAGTCATTTGCATCTGAATTTCATGTTTACTGATATAACTGGTTTAATTTGGCCAGAATGTCATTCCAAAGTTTGACTAAACAAGCTCCTATTGGTTCAAGCTACGGACATAATTTCCATACTGGTAACTGTCCATGTGCAGTTTATCACTGGATGTCTGATTAATTAAGCAACTTTAATTAGGATTGATGAACTGGTTGGATAGATTAATAGTTTAGGTATCTGACTATGGGACCAGAGGTTGGGGGTTCAAATCCCATTTTGCCTCCTGCAAGTGGAGCCGGCCTTGGGCAAGCTGCAGTTTCAAAATGCCCTCAGAAAAAGGGTATTGTAAACTACTTCTGAGTATTCTTTACTTGGAAACCTCTGAAAAGGGTTGCCATAAGTCAGAATCGACTTGATGGTGCAGGATGATTAATAATTAGGATTGATATACTCTAGCTAAAATTAAACATCTTTATGTCCAATAGACAGGAATGAGAGAGTTTTAAGCCAATGTTTAGATGTTTTCCAACTGATGTTTTCTTTCCCTCTCCTTTTCTTTTTAAACCTGTTGCAGAGATGTCACATTTCTAGATAAGAGTAGAATGTGAAAAGGTTTAAACTTCTCCCACCTGCCTGCACTGCTAGGATTTAGGATTGGTGTGATGTGTGCTTAGTCTAGAGTAAAACAACAACAACAGGAACAACAACAGGAACAGTATACATACTTTGCCAATATTTAACAGATACTTCAGTTTTTGCTTAAAACATATATCTGCTATATAATACCAGTCAATGTTTTTATAATTTTGATTGACTGCGCCTGGTATTCTTGAACAATAATAAAGTACTGCACCATCAAGTCAGTCCTTACTTGTGGTGACCCTTTTCAGTGTTTTACAGGTAGACGATTCTCAGACGTGGTTTACCAAACAGTAACATATGTGATATTTTAACGTATTGTGAAAAGTAACACCCCACTCTTAGGAAGGGCACAGCCTTCCCATTAGAGGTACAAATAATTGAAAAACAGGACGCAGAAGTCAAGCCAATTCTTCTATCTTATGTTTGCTTGGGAAAAATTATATAGAAATGCTTGAATCTGACTTCTTAGATCTGAATATGTATTGCCATCTTAATTTTGTTTCTAGTATTCCTGACTTCTTGCAGTAGGGATTTAGGAAGGTACGGTAAATGGATTGGCCTTAATAATATTGAACAAGATTGGACCAGCCAAAATGGACCACCTCAGGTTAGGCCTTCACTTTTTCAATGTATATACTAAGTGTATTCCTTTGATCCATCTACCTTTAAAGATACACTAGTCTTCTCTGATGGCAGAAAGTGAAGAGGAATTAAGGACCCTTGTAATGAGGGTGAAAGAGGAGAGCGCAAAAAATGATCTGAATCTCAACATCAAAAAAACTAAGATCATGGCCACTGGTCCCATCACCGCC